TTGCATCTGGAACAAAAAAGACCGGCCCTAGTTGTGAGCCAAGGTTGGACTATCAACTAGGATAAAAAAAGTCAGACCTAGTTGCGACTCTATGGTAGACTTGCAACTGGAACAAAAAAAGATCGGGACTCAGTTGCGAGTCGATGGTAGACTTGCAACTGGGACTAATAAGATCAGACCCATTTGTGAGTCAAGGATGAACTTGCAATTGTGACTAATAAGATGCGACCCTAGTTGCGTGTCAATGGTGAACTTGCAACCGGGACAAAAAAGGTGGGGGTCCAGTTGAGTGTTGAGGGTGGACTTTCAACTGGGACCAAAAAAGGTCTTGCCCCAATTGCGAGTCGAGTGTGGACTTGCAACCGGGACCAAACAAATGTTAGGGCCCAGTTGTGAGTCGAGGTATGGATTGCAACTGGGATAAAAAAAGATTTGACCCCATTTGCGAGTTGAAGGTGAACTTGCAACTGCGACAAAAAAGGTCGGACCCCGGTTGCGAGTCAAGAGTGGACTTGCGAATGGGACAAAAAAAGTTTGGCCCCTTGTTGCGAGTGGAGGGTGGACTTGCAACTAAGACAAAGAAAGGTAGGGCCTAATTACGAGTCCAGGGTGGGATTGCAACTGGGACAAAACAAGGTAGAGCTCTAGTTGCGAGTCGAGTGTGGACTTGTAACAGGAAATAGGCCAAACCCTAGTTATGAGTTAAGGGTGGACTTGCAACTAGGACAAAAAAGGTCGGACCCGAGTTGCGAGTCGAGGATGGACTTGCAACTAGGACTAAAAAGCTTGAGCCCCAGTTGCAAGTCAAGGGTGAACTTGCAGTTGGGACCAAAAAAGGTTGGGCCCAGTTGCGAGTCGAAGGTGGACTTGCAACAGGTAAAAAATGGTAGACTTGCAACTAGGACAAAAATTGCATGTGAGGGATAGAGTTGCAACTAGGGAAAAATGGCGGCCCTCGTTCTGTGTCGAGGATGGACATGTAAATAAGATAAAAATTGATTGGGCCCAGTTGCATATCGACAGCAAGGTAGAGCTTCTCTTTTCGATAGAGCATGTATCTTCAACGTTGAACTTGAAACGAAAATAGAAAAAAGCAACGACAAGCGACATAGCATGTCTCTCCCACATCCACAACACAGATGAGATAAAAAGTAGGCCACAAGAAAGCAAACAAAAAATAAGTCCGACAAACAAACATACATGCACCACGAACGAGCCAACAAAGTGGACAAAATAGAATAGGCGACACGTGAATACATTAGCTGACGATGCGAGATCAAGAATTTGCGTGAAAATAACACCAACAAGATCCCAACAGACAACAACTTCGATGAAACATTGCTAAATCTCATCTTGATGAATTTAGAAGGAACGAGATAGTGTCAAGATGAACCGGAAAAGACGGTTATGGCGATATAGCTTCTGTTTTCTTGTCTCTTCCAATTCTACGTCACAGTTTAGAAACAATATAGCGAATAGGTTGCCAGTGGGCTGCCATAATGGGTCGAAAAAAGTGAAGCCGAACAGGCCCAGCCAACAACTTGAAACACAACAAACAAACAACGACAAGCGAGGCGGAAGATAGAGCCCTTACACGAAAATTATGAAACTAAATCAAAAGAATGATAAACTTAGATTAGACATCGTTTAAAATAGTTGTGAATTTAAAAATATACTATGAAATTCTGAAAATCAAGGATTTTACGACAAAAAAAGAAACAAGAAACATAAGTTTAAAAACCAAAAGAAAAATTTAGAAAGAAAACAAGGAAAAAACCAAAAATAAAGTGAGTATAGAGAGTGGCGAACAAGAAATACTTGAAAAAATGCTCGCACCGTACCTGACTCTTCCAATTATTCTCCGGAGCCAACAAAAAACAAACACAAAAGAGGCCTACTTTCGACACAGACACGGACAAAGACCAGCCCAGTTCAGGTCCACACACAAACAAAAAGCCCAATCCACACACACACACACACACACACACACACACACACACACAACACAACACAACACAACACAACACAACCAACAGGCCACACGCGCACGCAAAACATTGGAAATAATTCACGTGCAGCGGATTTGCTAAAAAATCATGTGCAACGGACTTTCACAAATTTGCACAAAATTTATAGCTTTAGATCGTGTGGTGAGAAACTAAGATATGAGATAAATATGTTTCATGTTTTTTAGAAAATGTTCATGAATTTAAAGACAAAAGAATGAAAAAGAAACAAAAATGAAGAAGAAAAAGAACATAAGTGGCCCGTCCCAAGGCATGTGATAACGCTGCCTAAGAAACAATAAAAATCTGAATGGGCTGACGCGGACAAGAAAAGGAAAAAAACAAAGTGACCCGTCCTGGCATGGATGCTAACGCAGCCCAAATAACGAACGCACGCAAGGACAATGGGCTGACAAAGAGCGCATGCGAACAAGCACCTAAATCAAGTTAGCACGAAATTTAAAGACAAATAAGATCCAACGATTCTGGACTTAGATGTGAGATAACTATTTCACATCTAGATGTGAAATAGCAAACCCGTTGCGAGTAGAGTGTGGACATGCAACTGGAAAAAAAACAACGGGCCCAGTTGCGAGTCGAGGGTAGACTTGAAACTCGGATAAAAAAAGGTCAGCCACAGTTGCGAGTCGAGGGTGGGCTTGCAACTGGGACAAAAAAGAGTCGGGCCCTAGTTGCGAGTCGAGGGTGGAGTTGCAACTGGGACAAAAAAATGTCGGCCCCAGTGGCGAGTGGAGGGCGGACTTGCGATTGAGACAAAAAAAGGGCCCCCGGTTGCGAGTCAAGGGTGAGATTGCAACTGGGACAAAAAGGCCAGGCCCCAATTGCGAGTCGGGGATCGACTTGCAACTGGAAGAAAAGAAAAAAAGGTCGCGCCCTAGTTGTGAGTCGAGTGTCGATTGGATGCTTCGAAAAAAAATTGTTTATGCCCTAGTTGCGAGTCAAGGGTCAACTTGCAACTGGGACAAACAAAGGCCGGGCCGTAGTTGCGAGTTAAGCGTGGACTTACAATTGGGACAAATAAAAGGCCATACCCGAGTTGCGAGTCGAAGTGGACTTGCAACTGGGAAAAAAAGTCAGACCCTAGTTGCGAGTTGAGTGTGAACTTGTATCTGGGACAAAAAAAGGTTTGGCCCAGTTGCAGGTCGAGGTTGGACTTGCAACTAGGACAAAAAGAGGTTGGTTCCTAGTTGCGAGTCGAGGGTGAACTTGCATCTGGGACCAAAAAAAGGTTCGACCCAGTTGCAAGTCGAGGTTGGACTATCAACTCGGACAAAAAAAAGTCAGACCCCAGTTGCGAGTGGATGGTGGACTTGTAACTGGGACAAAGAAGGTCGTGCCCTAGTGGCAAGTCGAGGGCATACTTACAATTGGGACTAAAATATATCATGCCTTAGTTGTGAGTCGAGGATGGAAAATTAAATCAAACAATGACAAATTTAGATAATTGTCAAAACATGAAAAGGATCATATTGGTTGGTTGCGACTCGATGATGGACTTGCAACTGAGGCAAAAAAGGGTCACATCCAGTTACAAATCGAGGATGCACTTGCAATTGCGATAGAAAAAACACGAGGGTGACTTTACAACTAAAGATAGAAAAGACAGGATTTGGCTCAAATTAAGCCCAGTTGCATGTTAATATTGGACCTGCAACCGAGACAAAAAAAAACTTTGGCCCAGTTACAAGCCAAGGATGGACTTGCAACTAGGACAAAAAAATGGATTCAGTCGCGAGTCAAGGATGGACTTGCAACCGAGACAAAAAAATATCAAAAAACCGATTGTGTTTGGTAATGAATATACAACTAACACAAATATTTTCAGAAAAAAAGACACAGACAAAAAAAATCTTAAATAGCAAGGGTTCATAAATTTAAAATGAATAAAAAAAAGGAGAAACAAAGAGGAGGCTTGGCTCGTGTGTTACACAGATTGCGTAGACTAGTATAGAGAAGAAAAACAAGAAAATGTGGCCACGTAACAAACAAAAAGACACAAACTACATAGGTACAACTTTTATTTTCTTGAGAAACACACACGATCACAAACTGTGCGCTAATCAAAACAACTAGCTCGAAGGCAGACGCCAAAACAAACAAACGCAGAGGCCAACCGCACGCGACTTGACAACCGGCCCAAAAAAACAAAGAAGGGCCCGCCCCGCTGTAGCCCTACAGCCTGACTTGAGAACGCGAACGATGGTAAGACGAGGGCAGATCGCGAGTGCGCGAAAATTAAAGGCAGACAGATCGGACGGCTGGACATTTAGATGTGAGATAACTATTTCACATCTAGATGTGAAATAGCAAATCTGATTTTTCTAAGCACATCTCCTCCGCGTGACCGACCAACAAGTGGCCGATCGATCGTCCGTCTCGCGCACAAGTACAGATGGAGGTTCATTATAGTATGACCACTGCCCACTGACGCCCAGAAGTAGAAGAGAAGCGACCCCCGAAATTAGATGGCAGTCAACAGCAGCAACCCGATAATACGCGCGCGAAACCAAAATTTATTTGAAAAAATACGTCCACGGAGCGGGACAATACTACGGTCGAGGGGAGAGAGACAGAGACGGCGTCGTCGGGATAATGGTCGTACCACGTAGGTACGTACTACGCGGCCCCACCCCCCACCCACCCGACCCCCCTGATTGCTCGGACGCCCAGTATAAAACGCGCGCTCCCTCCCCTGCAAGCCTACTAGCCTTGGCTTTGCTGCCTTCCATCTGCTGCGCTGCAAGCCTGCAACACCGCGAGTCCGCATCGCACGGCACCACCCGCACCAACACCCAGCTCGCCGCTGCGCCCAGGAAACTTTGATCGATCCATCCATACGCCCTGTCGTGCCGCAGCGGCAGCAACGAGAGGCTTCCGCGCCGCGCCTCAACGGCAGGCTCGTGTTCGTTTCGCCGGATTTCGGTGGGGAATTCGGCGGCGTGGTGATAGCTAGAGCGAGAGGGAGCAGCAGGCATGGGGCGCGCGCCGTGCTGCGACAAGGCGAGCGTGAAGAGGGGCCCGTGGTCGCCGGAGGAGGACGAGCTGCTGCGGAGCTACGTCCGGAGCCACGGCGCCGTCAGCAACTGGATCGCGCTCCCGCAGAAAGCAGGTACGTACACGCGTGCTGCAGTAATCGCCGCGCCGGAGCCAGCCTAGCCTGCCGGTGCCGGGGACGGACTAGATAGGGGTCGATCGCTGCCGGCGGCGTCCTTTGTTAATTCGAGGACATAAAGCCGGCCATCGAGCTTCCTGATTTTCCTTCCATGGTTGCTAAGCTTTGACTCGTGCGCGCGCAGGGCTTAACCGGTGCGGCAAGAGCTGCCGGCTGAGGTGGCTCAACTACCTCCGGCCGGACATCAAGCACGGCGGCTACACCGAGCAGGAGGACATGGTCATCTGCTCCCTCTACAACTCCATCGGAAGCAGGTAAACTGATTTGGCTGAGCGCATATGCACTGAATCGCATGCGGATTCCGAAGCGCCCCGTCGGATTTGTTTGTAGCTGCCATTCCTGCAGTGTGTCACGTAATTGACTGATCGTCTCTGGTGTGTGTGCCCGACCTGCAGGTGGTCTATCATCGCATCCAAGCTTCCCGGCAGGACGGACAACGACGTCAAGAACTACTGGAACACCAAGCTCAAGAAGAAGGCCATGGCCATGCACCACCAGCAGCAGCACTACCACCACCACGGCACCGCCGGCCGGGGACATGCCCGCGCTGCGACGATCGCCACGCCACCGCCCGCTCCGCAGAGCCAATGCGCATCATACATGCAGCCCTCGCCCGCGTCCGCCTCGTCCGCCGTCACCACCGCGAGCGGCGACGCGGCCAGCTTCGGCGCCATGTACTCCCCGTCTCACCAGGCTGCGCCACTCGGTCACTACAACGTCAACGCGGCGGCGCCGCTTGCCGAATTCTCGGCCATGCCGACGCCGGCCGCGGCCAACAGTTGGGCCATCAACATGGCCTTCGAGGACATGTTCTTGCCCGAGCTCGTCGGGGGCGGGGACTTCTCCCAGGCGGACCTGTTCGGCGGGTTCGGGGCGTCGCTGCTGCAAGCGCAAGACAGCAGGGCGCAATCGTCCCTGCAGGAGCTCTCCGCGTGCTACTTCCCCAACGCGCAGGCGGAGATGTGGGCGGCCGCCGCCGACCACGTCAACGTCAAGTCGCCGGGCGCCGGCCTGTGCCCCAGCCTGACATGAGAAACAAAACCAAGACACTAATGTCGCCGCATCCATGCGCAAGATGCCCATGCCTAGTCGTCGATGGCTGTAGTTGCTGGCTGCCTGGCTGGCGCCGCCTTGCCCCTGTTAATTTTCTGTGTCCATGAGATGGATTATTACATGTACATTATCTTATCCGCCACTCCACTGCTATGTCATAGATGATGAGCTAGATTTGGATTCCCTCCCAATTTGCTTGCTTGCCACTGTTGGGTTCTGCCTACCAAGTACCAACCATGCAGTCCGGCTACTGTGCAAGCTTGAGTTAGTGCGATCGATGTGACCTGGACATGGCTCTGTCAAATCCAAATCCCCCTTGGAGATTGATTTGGTAAAGTCGCCCTAGTTCTCGCGCCCAAGTCCGCCTCTAGCCCGAGTAGCCAATCACTCGTCGACGTAAAGATCTTGTAGTGAGAGAGACTGTACTATATCACACACACTGAGAATAAATACTAGTACGACATCCTATGTAATGTACGTACGTATGTGTTTGATCAATTCGTGTGGCTACTATTGCTTGGTCCGATCGTGCTAGAAGCTAGGCAGGGGGCCGGCAACGAGAAGCGCATGATGTACCGCGCAGGTTCTTGGTGTGACGCGCTGGATGACGGCGACGAACTGAAGCCGGGCCGGGCGGTGCCGTGTGTACGTGTGCGCGATGGATGGACCAGGTCGGTCGATCGATCATGGGGCTCGCATATGCTTTGCATGGGCAGCAGGCAGTGTCATGCACGGACCCGGCCGTTAACCGATCATGGAGCGAGCGCGAGGCGAAGAAAGATGCACCCAGCTAGCTTATTAGCTAGCAGGCGTGTGGATGCAAGCGACTCATTCCCAGTCCCAACCGGACGGATGATTAGATTAGATTCTCCTTCTCCATGTAGCAAGCCAATCAGCACGCCACGCATTTGATTATGCTCGACCCCCCGCAAAAAAGAAAAAGAAAAACACATTTGATTGCTCGATCTTATTACTCTATGTAGGACTCTATGTATGTCCATCGGCCTGGTCCGCTGAAGCACATGGGCAATGGATTAAGGCGCTGCCAAGATTTTTAACTAGCATGTGGAGTAGCACGCATAGTGGGCACGTTTAGTTAGGCGGGTGCCGTCCCGTTTTTCCATCGGAATTCGGGGAGGCGTGTGCTTGATCTTGACACACTTGCGCATGCAAAGCCGCGAGAGCAAAATGACCATGTCCAACCCAGGTACCAAGTAGAGGTGAACGTGTCAAAACTCAAAACTCAAGTGCCGCCGGTAGGTTGGGTTCCAAGAAGCTTCCGCCTCGCCATGGATAAAAAAGGGTCTCTCCCCGTTTCAGATGGCAAATTTGACTATTTTGACCTGTGAAAGAAATCAATTCACAAAATGAACTGGGTGTGAAACTATTTCATACCCATGACCCTTTTGTGTAGCGCCCGCAACGCCGGCGTCACACCCTATAGTGCAGCGCCTAGCTGGCGGGCGTTGCACGGCATTCCACCGTGGCAGCCCTGGGCCACGCACCCAGCAGTGCAGCGCCTCCGTGCTAGGCGTCACACATTATGCAGCGCCTAGCCGCCAGGCGCCACACTTTTGATGTGCAGCGCCTAGCGCTTGGGCGCTGCACTGTGACTTATCCGGCTGCTCCCCCCCCTCCCCCACTCCCCCCACACCACACACTCTCCCACCCCAACCCG